AGTCCTCTCCGGAAGATAGACAGTCCTCTCCGGAAGATAGACAGTCCTCTCCAGAAGTTAGACAGTCTTCTCCAGAAGACACCCAGTCCTCTCCAGAAGACACTCAGTCCTCTCCAGAAGACACTCAGTCCTCTCCAGAAGACACTCAGTCCTCTCCAGAAGATACTCAGTCCTCTCCAGGAGACAGATTATTCAGCCCAGGAGTTACTCTCCTCTATTTTCGCCTTTGATCCCAGCCCAGACTGTCTCCAATCCTACAGCAGTGCTAGCCCTGAGATCATGGAATTGGATGTCTCCTCAGGTAGGATATTCTGTCCAGAAGGACGCAAGGTGGGGAGAATAACCAGTCTTAGAGTTTCCTCTTCTCATCTTTCATTTGCCAGCATTTGTTGGGTGCCCAACAGCAGAGAGTATAGTCATTCCTCCCTTGTTTTGTGTGCTTTACATTTTGCTGTGGTTATTAGGTGCTATCGAATTGATTTTGACTCAGAGTGGCAGAGAAGATCTACCCCATAGGGTTTCCTTGCTTATAATCTTTATGAAAGCAATTACTAGGTCTTTCTCCCAGGGAGTTGCTATGTGGGTTCGAATGGCCAACCATTTAGTTAGCAGCTGAGCACTTAAACATTGCACCACCAGGGCTTTTTGTATTGCATTATATACTTTATAAAGTGTGTGTACATTCCTTGTGCAGTGGAGGGTGTTGCTGCTGCTGCTGTACCAGAAGGCCTGGCTTTGAATCTCAGCTCTTCCACTCACCTGCTCAGTGACTTTGAGAGTTACTTAAGTTCTGTCTCAGTTTGTTTATCTTTAAATGACATAAAAATTGGTAGTGATAATTCTAGCTTCATAGGTTGCTGTAAGGAGTTAATGAGTTGACAGAGGTAAAATACTTGCCCAGTACTTGGCAATCAATAACTGTTAGCTCTTTATTAGAGGCCTGGTGTCACAGTGGTTAGAGTGGTTCTAACTCATCAGCTGCTCTGTAGTCCAAAGAAGTGGCAGTCGTCTTTCATAAAGGTTTCAGTCTGGGGAATCCTGTGGAATAGTTCTACTTTCCCTTGGTCACTATGAATGAGCAATGGGTTTGGTTTTTTATTGTTTTTATTATTGTTGGAGTCCATGAATGATGAAAACAGTTGCTCTCTGTTAATCAAAAGGATAGGGATTTGAGTCAATCTAGAAGATAGGCCTGGTGATTTACATCTGGCAAGTCAGCCATTGAAAACTCTGTGGAACATAGTTCTATTCCGACATACCTGGGGTCCATATAAGTTGAAATTGACTCCGTAAGCCAAAAACCAAGCCCACTGAGTTAATTCTGAATTCATAGTGACTCCATAAAACTATCTCAGAGAGTTTCCAAGGCTGTAGATCTTTCTCTGAGGGCATAGATCTTTCTCCAAGGACGTAAAGCAGACTGCCTCATCTCTTGAAGAGTGGCTAGTGGGTTCGAACTGCCAGCCTTTTGGTTAATAGCCAGATGCCTTAACCACAGCTCTTCCAGGTCTTTATTACCACCACTAGTGCTGTTATTGCTGTGACAATTGCCATGGGCATAACACTTGGCATTCAGTAAATGGAAATTAAGGGGTTTGGGTTTGGTTTGGAAGGCAGAGGCAGAAAACTTTATTGAGAAAGAAGAATAAGGATTTTTGGACCACAATTGTCTTATGCATCCATTATTCTCTTATACCTCACAGCAACTCTTGAGGTAGATTTCATTATTTCCAGTTTGAAAATTAAAAAACTCATTGCTGTTGAGATGATACACTGTACCCAGAATCCCCCAACTGATTCTCTCCAAAGACAATTCAAGGATGAGGTTCCTGGTTGAGGAGTTAGGCAGTAGGCCTCAAACCAGGCTACATCCAGCAGGAGTAGGTGTGGGCCAGCCAGCAGTGAGTAGACGGGTAGAGAGGCCTCCCAAGAAGGGTGGGAATTAGGAAAAGTCAGAAATGGGAGCCCATGAAGGCCTATCCTCTCCCCAGCAGAGATTTTGCTCTTTTCTTGGGTCCATGCATCATATAGACTGGCAGGACCCTTTGAGGTCTATTGAGCCAGTGTTCCTTCCGCCTTTTGTCTTACAGAATTCCCTCAGGTAAAACCTAAATATTTAAAGCAAGGCAGAGCTAGAACTGAGGCTGATGAAAGAGGTCTGGAGAGGGGTTCTGCAGAACACAGATTGGATTCCATTTCTCTGACTCAAAGGTCAACAAACAGGCCTGGAGGCCTGTTTTTGTAGGTCCTCGAGATAAGAATGGGTTTAATTTTTTTTTTTAAGAGTTGAAAAAGACTGCATAGCAAAGAAGTCTTAAGTGGCCTTAAATACTATCTGGCCCTTTACTAAAGGAATTTGCTGACCCCTGAGCTAACTCAACCCTTGATTTTTCACATGAGTCATCAGGCTCAGGGAGGATGGATGGCTTCCCTGAGTTCATACCTCGAGTTGATGGCAGAGCTGAGGCAGGAGCGCAGGCTCCGTTCTTCCTCTGGTGTCTGCTCCCGAGCTGACTGCCTCACCCAGGTTCTCCACAGGACTTCTCCCTGTACCCACCATCTGTTCCTCTGGGCACCTCCCTTGTGCCTATCTCCCACCCCAGACCTGTGCCCCACCCTGATCTCCCTCCTCTTCTTGTTTTGCTTTCTTGCTTGACTGTCAACATGTGCACAGCCGTCCAGGGTTGGAACCCCTTTGCTTCATTTGTCATGAAGCCTTGGTGGCGATGGGGTCCCATACACAGCAAGGTTAGAATTTTCACAGATCAGGAGCCTGAGGCCCAGGAAGGGCTAGGGGCTTACAGGCTTCAGAGCTGTCAACGATGGGGATAGCCTGCAAGTCAGCTCTCCTCACGTCCGCTCCACAGCTTGTACTGTGGCTACCTTCCACCCTGACCATGTGGCCTATCTCCACCCGAGGGGAAGAGGAGGTCTCCTGGAAGGCTCCCTCAGGTAGAGACAGACACACGTGTTCCACTTTCTGGCCTAGTCACTGCCTGAGTACCTGGAACAATGTGCGCCTAAAGAGGAAGCCATTGTAATCTCAGGATCCGGATTCTGACCCTATTCCTGGCATCACAGGGAAATCATTACCCCTCTGGGACCTCAGTTTCCCTCATCTGTAGTGGAAGGGGTTCAGACTAGAGTTATTGCCAGGCTCTGACATTCTGAGGTAGATCTAAACGTAGCTGTCAGGGCACAGGATTGGAAATCGGAAGACATGGCATTGAGTCTGCCCCTCACCTCTTAATGACTTTGTGACTGAGAGCAGGCCACTTTACCTTTGCCAAGTCTCTGTATTTTTGCACATCTAAAATAACATTTGAACTGCCCTTATGATTATTGGGTAGATTACAGGAGATAATACGGCATGAGTGTGACTTTTTATTTTTTTAAAGCTAGTGTGAATTGAGCACCGACTGTATGTCAGGCCTTGTGCTTAGTGTTAGAGATACAAAGTCTTGAATAAGACACAGCCCTTCACCATCAAGAAGGGGCCCCGGAAAGGGTCTGTAGTGTGTCGTGGTGTTCTCCAAACAATGTTCAGAGAGTGGTGAACAGACAGCTGGACAGCTGTTACAGAGCAGTTCTATCTGAGTGCCATAAACAACAGCAAAGAGAGCAAGGTCCGGTGTGTAATCAAGGTTTTCAGGCGTATTATCTCAGTTCCTGCTCCAGTGACTCAAAGAGATGGACCCTTATTTATTTATTTGTTTATTTTTTCCCCTAAGGAAGAAATGGAGGCAGTAGGTCCTTCTTGCTCCAGACCCTGGCCTTTTTCAGTAATGCTAGCATGCTTTTGCAGTGCACTAAACAAACACTAGGTTTCTTGGTTTTGATCCAAATACCTTTAGGTAGTTCTTAGAGCCTCAGTTTGCTTATCTGTCAACAGAGGTAATGTCATGCCTGCCTCAAGTCAATGGGCTGTTCTTATTAACAGTGGAAGCATGCTGGGTCCAATACTGATTTCTGCAGACCAGCTTTATCTCTTACATATATTCCTCCTATACCCCACTGAGGCAGATACCATTGTTATTGTTGTTGTTATGTGCCATCAAGTTGCTTGCGACTCATATAGACCCTATGTACAATAACCCTGAACACTGCTCTGTCCTGTGCCAATGCCAACCTTTTTCTCTCCGTCACACCTACCCCCATTACCCCAGTCACTGAGTCAATCCATCTCATCAAGGGTCTTCCTCTCTTTCACTGTCCCTCTACCCTCCCAAGCATGAGATCCCTCTCCAAGGACTGGTCCTTCCTTACAACATGCCCAAAATATGTCAAGCAAAGCCTCAGAATCTTTGCCTCCAAGGAGCAGCCTGGTTTCACCCTAGCCAGGACGAACCTATTTGTTCTTCTGTCAGTGCATATACCATTATCATCCCATTTTAAAGATGAGGAAACAGAAGCACAGAAAAAGCCAATCACTTGCCCACAGTTAGCAGCTACACAGTGAACATGAGGTTGATAAACTAGAGTGGTGGTATTTTCAGAATGATGCTTGGTTGGGTCTGACAGTGGGATTCCAGGCATCAAGAAAGATTTGATGGGGTTTTTTCTGGTGCCCCATCTCAGACCCTTATGTAGAAAATTACCTTACCTCTCGTGGGCACAAGCTGGTGTAGCTGAGGCTGGTGTTATTAGTGTGACTCTAAGAGGAACGGGTAGATAGAAAGATAGGCAGGGGCCGGATCACACAGAGCCTCAGCTACCGAAACACCTTGGAGTTTAGATCTCTGGTGGCCTGGTGGGTGAGGTGTTGCACAGCCAACGTGAAGGCAGGCAGCAGCTCCATGGGAGAAAGGTGGGCATTTTTCTCCTGGGCAATTTACAACCTCTAATAATTACAGGCTCTGTTCTAACTCTATGCCACAGAACAACATTAGAGTTTGGAGTTAAACTAGAGCACGTATTCTAGAAGAGACAAGAGCTGAAATGACATAATCACTGAGGGGGCTCCCACCATGGTTTGGGTGAGCAGGGATTGTACTTGGACCAGGATGATCGCATCACTGGAGCTGAAGAAAAATGAGGAGTTTGGAGAATTTGTGGGGTTGATTCAGCTTTCTGCTAGGCTAGATGTGGAGGTAATGGGGGATTATGGGTAATTTATGGCCCTTTTCGCTTGGCCAACTGAGTGTGTGGTGGTTGCATTAACTGTGATGGATCGTCCCTAATCCTTTGGGAGAGAGAAGAAGCGGGGACTATAGTCTAGGGAATGGGGACAGTTTGGGCAACAGAACCAGATGTGACTATTGGTTATTATTTGTCTGCAGTGCCAGTGATGACACCTCAGTACATCCTGCAGTCCCCCCTTATCCCCCTGGAGGGCACTGACAGCATGTTAGAGCTGCCACAACCCCTCCTGCAGCAGACCGAGGACCAGTTCCTGTCCCCGATGCTGGATTACAGCTCCCCGCTGATGGACTTCTCTCCACCCTTGGATCACGAAGCCTACTTGTTGGGTCTGGACGGGTGTGACGGCATCAGCGACCTCTTTGACAACTATGACTTTGGGAATCTGTTGATTAATTGAGGGTCCTGTGTACCCCTAGCAGCCTTGCTCCTGTCTCTACCTCCTCACAGACAAGCCTTCTCCCCGTACAGGGACACTGGCTACAAGGTGCTTTCCGGAGGCCACAGGGGTCTCATCTCTCCTCCACTCCTGGTCAGCAGAGGCTGTCAGGGAATTTGGAACACATGGGTGAGGAGTATATACCAGGGTTGAGTCCTGACCTTCATGACGGGAGCTGGGCCTATTGAGGCTCGTGGAGTCTTTTGACCTCAGACCTCTTACCTGAAGGGCTACAGGTGAGGTAAACAGGTCCAGGAATAGGTCCTGCTAGTTGCTTTTGAGGGGTAGTAAGGACCCTCAATTTATCAAGAAGCACTTAATGCCTTTGTATTTATTTCAGGTTGAGGTTTGTTTGTCATCCCTAAGTTTTAGCAGGGAAATTGGTCTAGTTCTAGCAAGATTTCTCCTCAGACAGGACAGCACTGTCTGCAGTCCAAGGGTAGGTGCAGGCTCTAGAGCCCCAGGCCAAGCCCAGATTTCCCCTCAGCAGGGTAGGCCTAGGTCTCTGGGGGGGCCATCCAGTCTGCCCAACCTCTAATTGCACTTAGATCTTGAAATTCTAGGAAGCGGTGGCTGCAGACCCTTTGACCTCTTCTCTCAGCCTGGTGCTTCAAGTAACAGCCAGCCTTAGATTGTAGGCCTCTGCCCCAGAAATGATTCCAGGGAACCATCCGAAGGCAGGGGCCTCAAAGTTCCTGAGTGGTCCCCAAGACTGAGGGAGCAGCTAGTTAGGGAGTCCCCTTTCTGTGGAATTCCTTCCTCTAAAAGTATAGAAATAGCCCTCCAAGGAGTCAACTTCCTGGCCTCCCAGGTCAGCCTCCAGCTCAGGAGTTGTCAGCAGGTCACATAGACCCTGACTTCTGAGGAGAACCCAGACAGGAGTTTGGAGGCAGCTGCACCGGCTGCTGTGGGCAGCTCTCAAATGTTTTGCCTTGTCCTCTACAGGGGCTGCTTCACACCAAGAACCACCAGGGATACAAATAGAGCCCTGCCACAGAGAAATGGCAGAGAGCTTAGGGTAAGGTGGTCTAGTGAAAGAAGTGTACCCCAAAACATTCCCTCTGGTAGCTTGTAGGAGGATTTTTTCCCCCAAGTTTTTTGAAAGGGATGATTTTTTTCCAATGACTTTTACCCACTTAGCTTTTACACAGACTCCAGAAGGACAGAGATGACCAGGAAGGGCTTGGTGACCTGTTTTTGTTTCTGACATAAAAATGCTGAGCATCTTCCAGGCCTTGGTAGCAAATGGGGAGATGGACTCATGTTACCTCCTCAGGCTTGAGTTGCCAGAGGGCTTTTTGGCTTCATTTCATTCCTCAGAGTTTTGACTGTCCTGCACTGCCTTCTCCCCCACCAGCTTGAGCCCAGCGTGCTTTGCGCTGAACCAAGGCCGTGCCTTCTAGAGAGCGGCAGCCAAGAGTTGTGGTTTGAGGCCTACCACCACCTACCCTCAGGGAGCTAGATTTCCTCAGGGCCTCAGCCGGGCAGCACTTTCTTAAAAATTTGTAGCATTAAGCTGATTTAAAATGTGAAATTGGCTTTCTTGTTGACTGTTCCTAAGCAGACTCCTGAAATTTGGGGTGTGGGTTTGTTTGGGACCGAAGCCCTATGTGAGCTAATGCCTAGCTGGGGACAGTTGTGCTGCCCTATGTGAGCTAATGCCTAGCTGGGGACAATTGGGCTTTGTCATTTGTCCAGCTTTTTGGGCACAGGCACCCGAGTCAGCCAGGAATAGGTAGCAGATTGCAGATCCTCCCAACTCCAAGCAGGACTAATTTTTTTTTTTATGGGATTTAAAGTAATGCCTTTGGTCTCTTCCTCAAATACAGGGGTCTCTTCAGAAGCTCCGCTTGAGCCCCAGCTTGGCCAGGGCCAGGGAGACACTTGGGAGGTGTTTCAGGACAAAAGTGAAGAGCTGCATGGGGTCTAGTTTAGTGGAACTGAAGATCACTGCACTTTCTGAGGTCTCAGTGGGCAGCCAGCCATTTGACCAATTCTCTGAGGACAGACACGTTTGAATTCCTTGGCTTTGGCTCTATTTGATGCGCCTTTCTAGAATGGAATTTGAGCTCCAGTAGTTTGGTGATAGGCATTTGCACTGCCAACCCAAAGGCAGGAGGGTCAAATCTTCCAGCTGTCCCTCCAGAGAAAGATAGGAACTGTTCTCTTATGGAATTTGTAACCTCTAAACATATCTGTGAGTTGGTTCCAACATGACTGTGCATAACATCAGCACTAAATTAGAAGAGAGATGAGATGGGGCCCACAGGAGCCAATGGGGATGAGTTTAATGCTGAGGTCTAGCAGCAATTAAAGCTCATTCCCCAGACCCTTAGTCTTAGGGTTGGACATAGGTACTGCTGCCCTTGGGTCCATGGCGTGTATTCTGAGCAGCTTCCCGGCCCTATGCTGTGTTACCCCTGCACTCCCTGCCTGGCTGAGGGGCTGAACTACCCAGGCCTCAGCTCCGTAAGAAACAAGGTCATGCCTTTCTTGCCAGTGACACTTGAAACACCCCATCCCCACCCCCCAATTCCTTAGGGTGCTTTAAGAACGCCATTTTGCTTGGTATTACCTTTAGAGTCAGGTAAGCTTTAAAACTAGGGAAAAGGGGTGGGGGGAAGCCAGTTTCTTCCCAAGGTACATGATTTCTGTCAGGAAATTTCCCCCTGTCCCACTCACGTCTCCAGAGCCAGCAAAGACTCAGGAACTCTAGGGTTCTCCGTAGTATTACATGTTCTAGTAGAGTTGGAGTGTCAAAGGTTTCTTAAAAACAGATGTATGTGACGTGCTGATAACAGAAGAAAAAGTGTTCACAAGGAAGAAGTGTATTGAAATTCTCTATTTTCTGCATAATTTTTATATAAGCCTAAAATTGTTCTTAAAATATATTGGATGAAAAAAAAATCCCAAATGAGTCCTTTCTGGCCTTAGAATGATAGATGGGAACAATATGCCTTCTGGGGAATGTGGCCATTTGGGTAGTGTGGCTGCAGGTAGAGGAAGGAGGTGGGAGGAAGGAGGTGGCTGCACCTCTCAATGACTGCACTTCTCCAATGGTTCAAATCCCCCAGTCTTCTTCCATGCCATTTTCAGCATCAGAAACCCACTGGAAGGTCAGCAATGAATTGGTTCTCACTTGATGACAATGAGTTATTCGTGATACCTGACTTAGTACCATGATAAAAATCTCACCATTATGATACTGAAAAGCTATCTCTTCCGCCCGCCGCCATGCAGCATCATGGATACCAGCCGCGTGCAGCCTATCGAGCTGGCCGGAGTCACCAAGGTGTTGGGCAGGACCAGCTCGCAAGGGCAGTGCACGCAGGTGCGTGTGGAGTTCATGGACAACACTAACCCTAACCCTGAGCCGCACCATCATCCGCAACGTGAAAAGGCCAGTGCGCGAGTGCTGACCCTGCTGGAGTCAGAATGAGAGGCGCGGAGGCTGTGCTGAGGTCGCCAGCGGATCCTGGGTGTCTCTTTTGCTTGGCCCCTGGGGATGATCTTCATCGTTCATTAAAATCTAGGCTGTGCTAAAAAAAAAGATACTGAAAAGCTAACAGCATTGAGATCCAAACTATGCAAACCTACTTTACTCTGTCTCCATCCCCCCTCACCTGGGCTGTTTCAGCTGTTAGCTGTTATCAAGTCAACTCCCAATCCACAGCAATCCCATTCACCACAAAACAAACAAACAAAACAAAAACATGAAACTCTGACTGGTCCTATGCCATCCTCACACTGTTATAGATTGAACTGTTGTGATTCACTGGTTTCTTTCCCAGCAATAGCTCGCCAGGCCTTTCTTGCTAGTTCATTTTCATCCAGAAAATGTTGGAACCTGTTCCACATCATAGCAACATGTGAGCCTCTGCTGAACAAGGGGTGTGCATGGAGTGCCCTGGCCAGGAGTCAAACCTGGATCTCCCAGACAGAAGATGAAAATTCTACCACTGAGCCACCAATGCCCTTGGACCATTTCAATTACCACCTTGATTTTACTACTAGATATTCTCCACTCCATTCATTATAACAGTGATTCTCAAAGTGTAATTTTCTTTTTCTTTTTTTACGTGTGTACCGTCAAATCGGATCTGACTGGTACAGGAGGCGATTGTTCCTCCTTCTTCAGCAGAGCATCTGGTGGATTTGAACCGTGTACCTCTGGGATTGCAGTGCAGTTTCCTGCCACTAGGCCACCAGAGCTCGCCTCAAAGTGTAATTTTCTGACTTTGCAGATCAGCACCACATGGGAACTTGTTAGACACGCACATTGTGTGATTCTCAAAGTGTAATATTCTGACTTGCAGATCAGCACCACGTGGGAAGTTGTTAGACATGCACATTCTTTGTCCCCATCTACAACCTGCAGAATTGAAAAAAAAAATCTGGAGACAGAACAAGGAAGTTGTGTCTTAATTCCTGGTGATTTGGTTACAGCTGAAGTTACAGCACCCTCTCCACTATCTCAAATATACTTTTTTTTAAAATTTTCATTCATTCATTGTCACACTTTTCTCCATGCCCAGCCCTCCCCCTAGTTCGCTCCTCTCTTTGAAAAGTAAAATTCCTTCTTTGGTATATAATCCCCCCACACCCCTCCCACTGTCCCAAGTACACTCCACTATGCAACCTTAATTCTGGGCTCTTGTGATAACCATAATACCCTATCATATATCGCATTTAAATGATTCTCTCCCTCATCTGTTTCAATGCAGTATACATAATTTATCCAGTTTTCCTCAGTCTTACCCCAACCCTGATGTCAGTACCATTCTACAACAGTGGCACTATGCAGTATTTGTCTTTTTGTGACTGAGATATTTCACTCAGCATAATGTCCTCCAGGGTCACCCATTTTGAATGGTATTGCATGAGTTCCTTGGTTTTCAGTGCAGTGTAGTATTACATTGTGTGACTATACCACAGCTTCTCTATCCATTCGTTTGTTGATG